GCATGCAGTGGTTCAAAATCATGCAGTTCTAACTTCTGATCACTCTGCGATTTTCATTGAAGTTGACGGACCAGAGGCCATAAAACAACGAAGGCGGTTTATGTTTGAAAACGCATGGTTGGAGGATGTTGGTTGTAAGGAAGTAGTGATGGATTCATGGGTGGGGTCAGCTGGTAACGATTTGCCAAGTCGTTTGGATTTTTGTGGTGAATCTCTTAAGCGGTGGGGTGGTAATTTTGTGAAGAAGGTGGAACAAGAAATGGCCAGGATCCAGACTCGTCTTAATTCCCTGCGAGATAGAAGGGATGCAAATTCTCTGCATTTGTTCAGGGAACTTGATGGTAAATTAGGATCCAGACTCGTCTTAATTCCCTGCGAGATAGTAGGGATGCAAATTCTCTGCATTTGTTCCGGGAACTTGATGGTAAATTAAGAGCCCTAAATGACCAGTTAAATATTTATTGGCGACAAAGATCTAAATAGCACTGGTTGTTAAAAGGGGACAGGAACACAAAGTTTTTTCACCTGTATGCGACTGCCCAGAAACGAAAAAATCGCATCCTACGACTGCGTGACGAATCCCAACAATGGGTTGAAGCTGAGAGGCTACTTGGGGTGGCTAAAAGATACTTCATAAATATCTTTACTACCAAGGGAGTGAGTATGCATTCTGGCATGGCTGATATTACGGCAACTATTTCTGAGGCTGATAATATGTTTTTGTTGCGACCTTTTACTGTTGAGGAAGTGAGATATGCTTTGTTTAGTATGTCCCCAGACAAAGCTCCTGGCCCAGATGGTTTCAGTCCTGCTTTCTTTCAGCATTTCTGGCAAGAGATTGGCCCAGATGTGTCGCGTTTTATTAATGATTGTACGAAGGATGATTTTCCTGTTGGTATGAACGACGCCATTATTTCTTTAGTGCCTAAGAAGACAGTACCGGAGAGTATGGGTGATTTGCGTCCTATAGCTTTATGTAATGTCACCTATAAGATCTTATCAAAGATGCTAGCTAACCGTCTGAAGGAGGTTTTGGATAAAGTCATTTCTCATTCTCAAAGTGCTTTCTTGCCGGGCCGTTTGATCACAGATAATATTTTAGTAGCCTTAGAAGTGTTGCACTATCTTAATCGTAAACGTGTTGGCAAAGAAGGATGGTGTGCATTAAAGCTAGACATGGCCAAAGCATACGATAAGATGGAATGTGATTTTTTAAAGGAAATTATGTGTAAAATGGGGTTTGGTCGGCAATGAATTGATTTGATTATGAGATGTGTCTCAACAGTACATTATAAGGTGAGTGTCAATGGAGACCTTACGGACTTTATTGTACCTACCTGTGGCTTGAGACAGGGGGATCCTCTATCCCCGTATCTTTTTATCTTATGTGCTGAGGGCCTATCATATTTATTATCCAGGGCGGTTTCCAATGGTTCTATTTCCCCATGTGGGGTGGCAAGGGGTGCCCTAGGTGTATCTCATCTTTTCTTTGCAGACGATAGCTTGCTCTTCTTTAAAGCTAATCGTCTGGAAGCAGAAGTGGTCAAGGGTTGTCTAATAACGTACGAACGTATGTTGGGGCAATCAGTCAATTTTTCAAAATCATGCATTATGTAGGAATACACCAGTGGATATCAGACTTTCAGTGGCATCCGTTTTTGGTGTACAGCAAGTGGAAAATATTGGAAAATATTTGGGTTTACCTTTGGGGATTGGTCGTAATAAGAATGAAGTGTTCTCTTTCATAGAAGCGAAGCTCAGCCATCGGTTAAGAGGTTGGAATAGAAAGATTCTTTCTCGAGCTGGGAAGGAAATACTGTTAAAGAGTGTAGCCCAAGCTTTGCCAACTTACGCTATGAGCATTTACCTGCTTCCGGTTGGTTTATGTGAACGAATTGAGAGGACTATGAACAAATTATGGTGGGCTTCAAATGGTGGTCGGGGCAGTGGTATAAGGTGGCTATCCTGGAGCCGTATGTGTTCGCCAAAGGGTGATGGCGGGCTGGGCTTTAAAATCCTAAACCGGTTTAATATTGCTCTTCTTGCGAAACAGGGCTGGCATTTACTCAGTAATCCCAACTCTCTTGCAGCGTTGATCTTCAAAGCGAGGTACAATCCGGAAGGGGAATTCCTTGAGGCTAACTGTAACACCCCCTAATTTTCTAAGCAATTTAAAGCCTTAAATATGCATATATCTAATCAAACATCAAACACAACGGAAGACTGAAAGAGGAATATATAAACTGGAAGTAAAAGGGGTGCTATGCCACGCTCATCTAGAGATGAACGCACAGACTAACATCTGCATAATTCAACATCTAAAACCATACATGTTCAACGTACTAAGTCTAAACTGGGCTCACAAGCCACAAAACATAAGAAAGGAGCTACACTAGCTGGCACTATACCGCGCTCTCGTCTAAACATCACCTGAAAGAAACACATAAAAGATGGGACGACGCCCGGTCAGCGAATAATGCTGGTAACCCACCAATACATGTGAAATATCATACATAGATAAGATATATGGTTGTAAAGTCATTTGCGAAACGGAATACATATATATAAGTTCAAAACCAAGAGCAAAGGTCAACACAAGACTCAAAACACTCACAAGAAGATAAGGGAACACATCCCAATACCACAAAAGACAACAACGACTCAAGGTATGAATCTATCATCACGCAATAGATTAACACCCGACATGCACAACTCAAGAGGATAAGGACACACCCAACGGCAACACATGCCTTTGTGACTACACACGTCACAAGAAGAGAACTCACAACAACGGCTACACAAGCCCCGTGACATCACCCATCACGAGTTGATATTCCTTCCTTATGCCCGGTTCCAACCTTATGGCTACCCCCAACCTTATATCTAGTTCCAACCTTTACCTCCAGGACCCCTGTACACCAAGTCCAACCTTATTCCACCGGGAACCGTCGTTCCCCCTCCAACAGTCCCTCCAACAGAACCACCGATTTCATAGTACACGAGGGTACCGATCACACACACGGCAACACATGCCACCCAAGAAATACGTGAACCTTACACAAAGGTCACAAACTCCATAATCACGTCATGGCCACCACGAGGACCACTGCAATACCTTGGTGACTAGTGTCCCATACCACTAATCGTGCAATCTAGGCAAAGCCACACACACCACACCTTAACAGGAATCAATCAACGGATCACAACGAAGATATGAAACCATACTCAATCAAGGAATGGATCACAGTCCAATAACAACGATGAATAACACAAGTCATCATCAACATTAGGAAGGTACAAACAACACACACGCTAGCATTACAACATCGAACTAGCATGCTTATCAAATGGGCAAACCGAACAGAGTTCCGAAGAACACACAAGAATCATCACGGTTCAACGAAACACAATGTTGAACACTTAGCATGATTCAAGACACCAAAGCCTACACGGATTCCTACCATATAGTTCTAGACATACGAAACATCAAGAAGACGCTCAAATAGTTCCACAAAAGAACATTGGGAAGTCAAAAGACCAAATACCGAGTCAAAAGAATCACGGGAAACAAATCCCCGCCAATCACCAAAGTGTACCCCGCGGGTGGGCCCACGGGTACATACCCATGTCTCACCTGTAACCCGCGGGTGGGGCGCCGTTCCGCCTGCGGGTACGTACTTGTACACTAGAATAATCCCTTCGGGGATTTTCAACACCAAGCTCAAATTCAAGTCCAAAACATGCCAAATATCACCAAATACAACAAAATGACTTGAATCAAAGGAATAGCCAAGCAATGTCATACACGAACCCTAGTAACAAGCTCTAGATATGCATTTTCACAAGACAATACATAAACACTCACATTTCGTAGCAAAACACATGTAGAATCCAAGAAATCATCATATAGGTAAGCAAAATAGATTTTGTAGAGCATGGGCTACCTCTTGTAGACAAAAACCTTCACTTAACACTTCACCAAGCTCCTAAATAAGCTCACCTTCCAAACCCACTTCAAGAACACACCAAAAGATCATAAAGATTCTATCTTTAAGAAAAGACACCTAAGAAAACACTAAAAACACAAGATGAACATAGATCTTACCCTCCTAGATGCCCAAATGTATGAAAGGTAGAATCTTGGAGACAACTCTTGAAGATTTGACAAAGCTTCAACTTGGCTTGGAAGAAAAGCTATCTACCTTTTTAGAGAGAAGGTAAAGCTAAAGTTTAGAAAGTGTAAGGAGAGAAATGAGGATTGTCTACTAGGTTAGCTTGCATTACTAACACAAGGTGAAAAGTCATGAATACCCTTACTAACATAAAGGGGTGTAAGGGAACAAGGAAACTCCTCTCAAAGCTCAAGGTACAACTTTGACTTTGGGATTGACTAGTCAATTACTAGTCCCCGACTATTGAATTTTCAGGATTTTTAGGAATTAAAATACCAATTGGTTTAGGATTAATTACTTAATTAATTCCATAATTGAATTTGGATTACGGGGTGTCACACTAATATTGGAGCTAATCCTAGCTATTGTTGGCGCTCAATTTTGGCAAGTCAAGAGTTGTTGAGGAGGGGTTGTTTTCGCAGAATTGGGTGTGGTGATTCGACATCAGTGTGGAAACATCCTTGGCTCCCTACGGATGACGATCCTTTCGTTCAAACACCTGTCTCTGGTCACGATGGAAATATGTCGGTGAGTGCCTTGATTAACCAGAATACTAACGATTGGGATCCTGAGAGGTTAAATCAGATATTTCAGCCGAGAGACGTGCAGCTAATCTTGAAACTGCCTGTATCTCCGCAGGTTGAGGATCGTTGGTGCTGGAAAGGCGATCTCAGGGGATTATATTCAGTATGACATGGCTACAAGCTTTTAAGTGGAATCTATACCTCTGATTCGGCCAGTACTGTGGTGTGGCACCCGCTATGGAAGCTAAAGATTCCCCTCAATATAAAGAACTTTTTGTGGCGTTGTCTCCGCGAAGTACTCCCTATGAAAGCTGCTTTGGTTCAACACCGTGTAGATGTGGATGCCATGTGCTCTCTTTGCAACCTCCATGAGGAATCGCTGAAACACCTACTGTGTGAATGTCAGTATGTCACCCCGTTGTGGGCTGAGCACACTGATATCCTTATGCCAGACGTAAGTGTTAATTTTGTGTCATGGATGTCGAATTGCATAGCTAATGGCTCTATGACGATGAAACTAAAGTGTATTGCTCTTTGTTGGTCGAGATGGCGTGGGAGAAATGATGTAGTGTGGAATCAAGTTCCTTGGCAAGAGGCAAGAATTCGAACGGATGCTGGACGTTATTTTCAAACTTGGCAAGAGCAGTTGCAGGGGTCTCCGTATGCTAACAGACATGCTAATCCTGCCATTGCTAATAGGCAACCAGATCCTTCTAGTGGTGATGCCACTATACCTACAGATGTTATGCAACTCTATGTGGATGCTGCTGTTTTTAAGGACACAAACCAGGCAAGTTTTGGGGTGGTTATGCTTAATAATATAGATGTGTATGTAGCTACTTTGAGTGGACCGGTTCGTTGTATGAATGATGTTCATTTAGCGGAAGCCTTTGCTATAAAGGAAGCACTATCATGGGCAAAAGCGAGAGATCTTCGTAAGGTGATGGTGAAAACGGATTGTCAAGCAGTTTGCAATTTACTGAATGGTTCTTTGTTAGATCTTTCTTTTGCAGGATGTGTTATCAACGATTGTAGAGAACTCAAGCGACACTTTGATATGGTGTCTTTCTGTTATGTTTCTAGATCAGTGAATAGGCTTGCCCATACGCTAGCAAGGGCGGCTCGTTCAGATACTGATCCTCATTGTTGGATATCTACTTTTCCTTCTTGTATTGCTTCGCTTCTTCAATAAAACTTTTGGAGGTTTGGTTTTTCAAAAAAAAATAATAATAAATTAATAATAATATCCATACTAAAAAAGATAATGATCAAGCATCACATTTTCATAGCCACGTATTTATTGGAGTGTTTGGAAGTTCGCTATTGAGACCATTGGGAAATCATGTTGTTGAAGCTAAATTTTTTATTTATATTTTATCAAAAATCGTGTGACAGTTCAATCAACTTGGACATCTCAAATGTGGTTCAATGATCAATATAATGTTAGTACTAGCAATGATTGTTTTCCACTACAGTTTCAAGTCATTCGGAAACTAATACTACAGCTAACGCCTAACAGAGATAACTATATTCTTCTAACAGGTAATGTAACGACTGCAAGTTTCTTTCCGTGGAATTAAATTATGTAAATCAAATTATAATATTTTAGATATTGTATACTATCATTACTATGTAATCACTTTTTTTTATTCAATTTATTGTACAATAGTCCAATTTATTTCGGCATAATAACTACCTAGAGCAGAGTTTTTCCTTCAGCTGATTTCAACTTATTCAAAATTCCTTTTGAATTGTTATAAATACGAATGAATATTTGGTGGACTAAAATTAAAATGTAAATGACTTATATATATATATATATATATATATATATATATATATATATATATATATATATATATCACTATAAGAAAAATTACGAATTGCGACGGAAACATCGCGACGAAATGTAATCTGTTGTCGATTCGCGACGGTTTTCGCTACAGAACGTGTTCTGTGTCACGATTTTGCGTTGGAAATGGTGGCGGAATTCAATTCCGTAGCAATTTTTGGTGCAATGTGAGAAAAAAACCTGTGAAATTTTTGCACCCACATTTTTGTGACGGATTTTGCGACGGAATTAAGTTATGTCACCACAACGGTGACGGCAAAGGCAATGGCCGATGGTTCCATCGCGGTTTTGTGACAGAATCGGCGACGATAATAAATTCCGTTGCGATATTTGGCGCAAAGTGGAAAATATTCCCACGTAATCTTTGCACAAAGGAATTGACGACGGAGGTGACGACAGAAATTGCAACGGGTATTTTTTCTGTCGCGAAAATATTTAAAATTTGAAGTAAAGTTTATTTTTGCTACAGAAAATGACGACGGAATGAATTCCTTAGCTAATATGTTGACATGTTGACGACAGAAAATGCGATGCCCTACATGTTTGTCGTGCTATGGCGATGGAATCGGCAACAGAAATTAACTTTGTTGCGATGTTTGGCGCAAAGATAGATTTGATGTTTGAGGTTGGCAACAAAACTTGTGACGATCATTCTCTCCGTCACTAAAATATTTATTTTTTTAAAATAAAGTATATTTTCGCTACAAAATGAGATGATGGAGTCAATTCCTCGCCAATATGTTAACACATTGGCGATAGAAAATGTGACGTCCAACATGTTTGTCGCGCTGTGGCGATGGAATCAACAACAAAAATTAATTCAATTGCGATATTTCACGCAAAGATAGATTGACGTTTGAGGTTGGCGACAGAACTTGCGACAATCGTTTTTTCGTAACTAAAATATTTGGTTTTTAAAGTAAAGTTTATTTTCGCTACCGAATGAGACGACGGAATCTATTCCGTCGCCAATATGTTAACATATTGGCAATAGAAAATGTGACGCTCCACATGTCCGTCATGCTATGGCGATGGAATCAACAACGAAAATTAATTTTGTTGCGATGTTTGGAGCAAAGATAAATTTGGCGTTTGATGTTGGCTACGAAACGTGCGACGATTGTTATTTCCGTTACTAAAATATTTAAATTTTTAAGTAAAATTTATTTTCGCTACAGAATGAGACGACAGAATTGTGTCCGTTGCCAAAACGCCCCACATGTCCATCGCTACGGTGATTGAATCAACAATGAAAATAAATTTTGTTGCGATGTTTGGCACAATGACAGATTTCATGTTTGAGTTTAGCGACGGAACTTGTGACAGTCGTTATTTTCCGTCGTGAGAATATTTAAATTTTTAAGTAAAATTTATAATCTTTCTAAAAAAAAAAAGAGAAAATTTATAACATTTTAATTGTCGAATTGTGCACTAGGTTTGTTATTACAAGTGGAAAATTTCAAAATTTAATGTAAAATTGAAATTGCATATGAATTATTAAAAATTATTAATGTTATTAAATTTTATATATAAAAATGAAATATGAGTTTATTCAATTATAAAGTTTTTTATTTAATTTGATCTAGCAAAATAATTCTACTCGGGTAATGCATCATGCATGACACAATATTTATTAAATAAATTAATTAAAATTTAACCATGTTTAATATGATTAAGCACCCAATTATTTTAAAATAAAAATATTTATCCTACTTAAAAAATAAATTTCATAACATATTATATGTTAAGGTCCAACTTATAAATTTTGAGAAAAAAAAACTAATCCAATCCATTATAATAACATGAACTATTATGATATTAAAATCTAGCCCAAATTTAATCCGACCCAACTAACCCAAACCCAACAACCTACCCGTATGACGGAACTTGCAACAGTCGTTCTTTCTGTTGCAAGATTATTTTATTCTTTAATTAAAGTTTTTAATTTTTTTAATGATCAAATTTTGCACCAAGTTTGGTATTAATAAAAGTGGAAAATTTTAAATTGCATATGAATTCATATGCTATAACTAAATTGCATAACTCTTTCATCACTACTCCTTTCATCTCATTTTACCTGTCGTACTTTCCTTTTTAGTTTGTCCCGAAATAGTATTTTCTTTCCAAAATTGAACATAACTATTATTTTACATTTTTCAATTTGCCTTTTTGACTTGTTTAAATTTCTAGATAATTAATGAGGTAAGTACAATTGTACTTTGTACAAATGACACATACTTTTGAAGGGCAAAATTAGATAGTTAGAAACATTTGTTTTGTTGCATTAAAAACATAAAAAAAAAAAAAAAAAAAAAAAAAAAGCAAATGTGACAAGTAATTATGGACATATGGAGTATTCACAACATAAGTAGTATAATAATTTCACTTTTAACAAAAAAATAAGTTAAATTTTATTGTCTAATCAATATTGCATTAAAAAGATTTAATTTATTTTAATATGAAAAATTGTTAGGACATCATTTTTATTATCGATCATTATAACTATGTATAACAATATTCACTTTTACTACTACTTTTACAATAAATTTAAAATACTCATTTTGATTATATTGAAAATAATCATTTTTATTTTATATTAATTATTTATAACGAATATTTTATAATCAAACTATATATTGACAACTAACATTTTTAAAAAATATTTGACCATTGATCGAATTGGAATATTTTGTTTAAAAATTTATTAACTGGATTCTTTGATTTGATCGTTTAACAAATTTTTGCCGAATTTTACACACTTATAAAGATAACAATTAAAGTTTTTGTAAATATTTAAATATGAGAAGATTTTAATTATACATGTTAAGAATCTAAAAACATAATAAGTGTTAATGAAAGTTATACCCCTCATTTATGTCCGTTTTTTTTCCGTTAAGTTTCTTTATACATTATGCTATAAAAGTTGTACTTTAAAATATTTTGGACAAACATACCCCTACCGTTATAACTTCCGTTATCTTTTCCACTATTGTTACCATGCACATGCATCCACCATATAGTTTCTTATCTTCTTCATTAATAATAATATATACACATTATATATTTGATTTGTATGTTAATTATTAGTATTACCTAAAATATAAATATCAAATTTATAAAAATGTTTTACATTATTATTATTATTATTATTATTATTATTATTATTATTATTATTATTATTATTATTATTATTATTATTTATAATAATTTATTTTTTTTTTTTGAAAAATATATCTGCGATATAGTATTAAATGAACTGAATGATAGTGTCAGGAGGGATAGAATCCCAGTACATAGGTTGTTCCTGATCAAAAGCTAGTGATGCTAGAGTATGAGCATGTAAATTTAAAGTCCGAGAGACATAATTTAACAAACAATAATTAAATAAAGATATAGTTGTCCTACACTGATCCACAATTATCCCAACATAGGATAGCATGGGCGTAGATCTTGAGTATAGTGCACTCCGCAACTCTGAACAATCCGTGAGCAGGTCTACTGTCTGAACATCCCGTTCCTTGAGCCATGATAGGGCCTCTTTGCATGCTAACGCCTCCGCCATCATTGGTGTGAAGGCCCCGGATAACCTTCCACTTGTTGCGGCCACAAACGTACCGTGTTGAGAGAACAATACTGCCGCATACGTAGCTTCTCCGGTGCCGCGTCTGTATCCTGCATCTATGTAACATTTCGGCCGTCCATCTCCGATTGCCGCAGGTGTTGGTACGGATTCCAGCGTTCCAGGCCGGTGGTGAACCTGGCGGTATAGCCGTTCGGCAGCTGCCGCACGCTGGGTAACTTGCGCAGGCCGTGGCAGGGATTGGTGCCAAACGGCGGTGCTCCGGGCATTCCATATGTTGTAGAGAATGGAGATATCTAGGCCACACTGTTCGTCTGTTAAAGCATCAAAAATTCCCATAAGCCATACCACTAAAGAATCTGTCACAACATTAATCGTAGGCAATCCCGACATACCCCACACCATTCTCGAAAAATCACACATAATTAAGGCATGCATAACATTTTCATCAAACAATCCACACATTGGACACGCAGGCTCCACTTCTACTCTTTTCAAAATTAAATTATTTGTGGTAGGAAGAATATCACATAATGCTCGCCACAAAAAAGTCTTCCACTTGGGGGTACTTTCATCTTCCATAATTTAACCCATTTATCAAAAGTTCCTGGGTTATGCTCATAATCACCCATAATCTGCCTATAAGCATTCTTTACGGTGTAGATTCCTGTTGGTTCCTTAAACCAGAACCATGTGTCCTCATAGTTCGGGCTTACTGGGATCATAGAAATACGTGCCACATCCTCCGGGTCAAATAGAT